GATGGCGTTAAGGGTGTGAGGGTTTATTGGCCTGACAAGAGGACCGTGACGGTGGAGCGAAATGTCTATTTTGACAAGACAGCCTCATCAGTCAGCCGTCTCGAGGGGGAGGACTGGGAATTCATCGAAACAACACCTGATTCGACACCGGATGGACTTACCAGCACCCCATCTGTCAATACACAAGCTTCTACATCCACACCAACTCCTCTCGAGACACCTGCAACCACTATCCCTGCTCCCACAGACCCCACGGACTCAAACACGTNGAGATGCCCTCGGAGCCTGAAACTCGGTTGAAATGCACTCGGAAGCCTACACAACGTCTCCGTGACATCCTCGAGGGACGCGCCATCTCGTCCAATCATCCTGGGGCACCAAAGGTTACACCCGGGGTGCAGCTCCCTTCGGAGATCCTCTACGCTCTTTATAGCGAGGCTGGTTTTGAGGGGGAGAACGAGGATGGGTGGGTGATGGTGGCAGACTTCATTGATGAGTATGCAATGGCGGCAGAAATCAGTGAGAAAGAGGCTTTAGAGCCCCGTTCTCTTGCTGAGGCAAGGACTCGACCTGATTGGCCATTGTGGGAGAAGGCGATCCTGGAAGAACTCGCTGTTTTGAAAGCTGCGGGTACATGGGAACTTGTCGACGCACCTCCTGGAGCCAATATTGTTGGTTCAAAGTGGGTTTTTCGGGCAAAGAAGGATGCCGCTGGCAATGTGGTGCGCTACAAGGCTCGTCTCGTCGCGCAAGGTTTCTCCCAAGTCCTGGGGATCGATTACTTCGACACGTTTGCACCAGTCGCACGCCTTGCTTCTATTCGGGCCGTTCTCGTGATGGCGGCTGTCCATGACTACGAAATCCATCAAGTTGATGTCAAAGGTGCTTACCTAAATGGCATTCTCACCGCCAACGAGGTTATTTTTATGCGCCAACCCCCCGGATATAGGATTTCTGACAGCATGGGAAAGGTGTGTCGTCTTCTCAAGACACTGTATGGACTGAAGCAGTCGGGGAGGCGATGGTATCAGAGGTTGGTGGAGATCATGGTGCTGCTCGGTTTTGAGCAGTGCACGGTCGACCAGGTGGTTTTCTTTAAGCACTGCGGCGAGGCGCTTGTGATCATGCTTGTGCATGTCAACGACTGCACAATTGTGGCCACTGCACTGCCACTGATCGAAGCCTTTAAGGCCGAGGTTGCCAAGCACGTTGAAATCACCAATTTGGGCGAACTCCATTGGATCCGCGGCATCGAGGTTCGGCGCGATCGCAAACACCGTATTATCTTCCTTTCCCAACGCTCGTACATCGACTCGATCATTCGCCGGTACAACCTTCAAGACCTCAAGCCTCTTTCCATTCCCATGGACCCCAATGTTCGCCTTTCGACGCATCTCCCTTGAGATCGCGAAGATGGCAAATATCCCATACCACGAGGCCGTTGGTTCTCTCATGTACGCCTCGCTCGGTACACGCCCGGACATCACCTTCGCTGTCCAAACCATCTCGCAATATGCCTCAAAGCCTGGTCCTGAGCACTGGGAGGCCGTCAAGCGGATTTTTCGCTACCTGAGTGGTACGAAGGAGTTGTGGTTGAATTTTGGTGGGGACACAAAGGGGCTGGTTGGATTTGCGGATGCGGATGGGAGTATGGCAGAGGATCGTCACGCGATCTTGAGGTATGCTTTTTTGCTTCATGGCGGTGCTGTTTCATGGAGTGCTAAGCACCAGGAGATCATCTCACTGTCCACCACAGAATCTGAGTACGTCGCAGCGACGCAGGCCATGAAGGAGGCTCTCTGGCTCCGCTCCTTGGTCTCGGAGCTTTTCACCATCGACCTCGACACGACCACTTTATTTTTGGACAACCAATCAGCCATCACGCTCACAAAAGACCATCAGTATCACGCCCGCACTAAACACATCGACATTTGGTTTCATTTCATTCGTTGGATTGTCGAAAAGGGGTCCATTCGACTCGTCTACTGTCCTACTGGCGAAATGGTTGCGGATACTCTCACCAAGGCCCTCCCTTCTGCAAAGGTGAAGCATTTCGCTTCGGAGCTCGGACTTGTGCTCGTTTGAGGGGGAGTGTTGGATTTGGAGAGGCAAACATGCCTGAGCAGCGCACAGGTTTCATGTATGCAGCTCGTGTCAGCACGGCCCGTCTCATGCTTGGAGATAGGTATTTTGTCTTTATGTTAACTTTCATTTTACTTCCGTCTACTCTACTTCACATCTAGAGTACATATAAACATTCTACATTATCTCGTTGCTGTTCTTATCATGCATCAGCTGCTCTTTTGTGTTTTATCTTCACATGGCTCTCCTGGGCAGTCGAGTCCATTTATACCGCGCCGTTTTCGTTAGCGCTCCCTCAGCCGTTTTTCCAAACGCTGAGGTGAGCTTTCTAGTTTATGATCTACTATTCATATGCTTACATCCTGTACCTAGCTATTCTTAGGTACTGGTCAATGTTACAGCCATTTTTCCAAACACTGAGCTATTCTTAGTTGGTTCACATAAGCGAGTATTTGTGTGCTGGCCAATGAAAATGCAAGGAAAAAGGTGAGCAAGGCGCACTGATGCGACCTAAGTGAGCATTCAGCCTGCCGAACATGACGAAATGACTGGATATTTCCAAACATGGCCCCACAGGGCTGCCAAAGGTAATTTGCCTCTCAAGATCGTCATTTCCTGCATCGACTGGGGCAGGACAGGCGTCCCTACACTCATTTCACAACACGGTCACGAGCTTCCCCCTTTCCTCCTCTTTCCTTTTTTGATTTTTCTTTTCTTTTTCTTTTATTTGTAATTTCCATACCACAAACACCAGTATCGGGCCTCCAGTTGTAACCAGGGTCAGTTATGCTTAGTAAGCTGATGATAAGATAACCTCGGAATACGAGGACAGTACTCAGCCACCTTGAATTGCTCTTCAAAGTTGGTCTGACCTTGATGAAAAAATGCTTCCAGTGAAAGTTAGACACCTCTATCATATTCTGGTCTTCTTATTTCGTGATTTCTGATGTTTTCCTTTCACTTATTTAATTTGACATTTCTCATCACTCAAAACAAGAATTTTCAATTGCTTGGTGTCTTATGTTTGGAAGAAATTTGTAAAAATTAAGGGAACTTCTTTCATGCACACATATTTACCTCACAATTCATTTCACCTCTTTGCTTATGCAATAGATGCTTTGTACTAAGAGAAATCAGCAGGAACAGTCCAATCCACCTCCAAAATGACACACTCTCCAATTTTTAAGGTTGGAAGTGCAGCAATCCTTCAACTTGCTTAATTATACAGTAGTCACTATGAAATTCTTAAGTCCAAAGTATCTTCCTGGCAATGTGTCATGTCGTCGAGAAAAGCCCTCCGGGACCACCAGAAACACGGTATCAAATAAGGAAATTGGTGTTACGCGTCACCAGACACAAAGGGAGGCTCATTTCTCCGCGAGGAATGGTGTTCTGTCTGCCAAAAAATGCAGTTACATTGCTCTGATACTATAATACATGAGTTCAAAAAGAATGGAGTGAAATGAGCAACTGTGCCATCTACAAAGGCAATGACCGAGTAGCTGGTGTGACCGAGTAACCGGTTACATACAGTACAGAGATGCAAAAACTCCACAAGTAACCATGAGTACCATGTGGTGACCAAAGGCGGGTTGTGAGTAGTAAATCGATGAGTAGAGATGGTTTATAAATGAATGTTTGTATTGATAAGTATAGTATGGGGTAGCTAGAGTGTCCTAATGTACAAGTAAGATACACCGAAAGATTCCGGAGCCGAAGACGCGGGACTAAATATGTAGCGGCGTAACGATAACGTGAGGTCTATGACTTTGCATGAAGAAGGTATGGCGAAGAAAGAACTTGTCAACGATTGTGTTTATGCCGGGACGGGCGAAGTTCGGCTCATGCGAGCAGCGAGGGCAGCTTCCTCCTTACGATCGCGTTCTTGTTGTTCAAGCTACACAGTTGACGGGGAAGTGAGTCATGAGGTGCGTACCATGAGAATACGAATTACTCACCATGTCTCTCCACGAATGGTCTATTTGGCTATTCTTAGCAGCGCGGCTGTTGTGCGTCAGGGCACCAGCTACGATCAAGAGACCGATGGTGAGTCCTTGAGCCCACATACGAGCCTGGACAATTTTTTGGGCATATGTTTGATATCTGTTCCACCATCTAGAAGATATTCATGCACAGGAAGAGGAAAAGGCGCACTTATTACGAGAGATAATAGCAGCAGCGACACCCAAACTTCCTGCCCAGCCACCCATGATCAAACTATATTGATGACGGAAAGACCAGTCGCCAATCTTGTCCTTGAGAGACAAGGAATCCCATCGCCTCGCCTCCTGCATTTCCTTTTCGTCGACAAGACGAGAACCCTCGTCCACCCTATCAGAGGAGACACAGTTGAGCCATGTATAACTTGAAAATGAATGTTGGGGTTTCTACCCACCATTGGGAGCGGTCATACTCGAGTCCACGTCGCTCGGCCTGGATGGATAGGACTGGTGCAACAAGGATGATGACACCAAGGGTCTTCAATGACAGAGGTAGGCGGCGGTATACAGGCAGGTTGCGTTGTGCCCAATATGAGCCGGCGAGTGCTACGGTACCACTGGCGAGAGCCCCTTCGATGGCACCCCGTCTGGAGGCAGCTGCGTGTGCGGCGAATTGTTCTTCTGTCAAAAGCTGCCAAGGAACCGATGTGAATATGCGGCCTATAGGATTGGATGAAGGGCCTTACCTTCATGTTTGGGCCTGGAGTAGGGAAGTGGGGATAGAGATGTTTTTACTCTTTTTATAAGAGGTGGGTCTAGGGATCTAGGCCGTTGATGATTTCATTCCGAGGCTCCGACTTGTTGCCCATAGCGGCTTAGAGACACGAGAACGTGACAGTGAACGTGACAAGTATGTCAGCCTGATCCCGTTCCGAGTCCGTCTTGTTCCGTGAATCTCCTGTTACCCCCTCCGATGTGCCCCGTTCGTTGCTGGACGGCTTCCGTCCTCCCGTGCCCGTATGAGCATCATCATGAAGTATATATTCAACAACAGAGCTCTACCTACTACATGACGTTCGGAACGTACAGGCTACGAGAGAGACTATGGGCTAAGGCTATATACTACGACTACGAGTATGAAATTTTGCAGGCATAATAGACATCATATGGTGCATAGCTGCCATAGCAGGAGTGATTGGAGAGGATGAAAGGGAGAAATGTTGGGAATTCGGAAGAGAAAGATGCCTATCCACGGCAGACTGATCTGCAGATCCCTCAGAAACTCACAAAGAGCAAAACAAGACTGACAGACAACGAAGCGAGATGTATACGGAAAGCAAGGAGTAAATTGAAAGGAAATACACAAAAGAAAGAGTCGATACATCAGAAATGGTCCACGGTAAACGTCCATGTCCCAGTCTTCATATCAAAGCTCTCGAAATGTGTATCCTTCATGTTCTTGAGCCTCTTCAGGTGCTTGATGGCCGCTGGGTGTTTCTCGTCCGTGATTGGTTCCCGAGTTGCCTTGTCCACGGCCCAGCACCTCTCGAGGGCAAGCCTTGCCTTTACATTCAGCCCTGATCCGGGCGGTGGCTTATCCACTTCTTCGCTGTCGGGGTACACGCTGCACTCCTTATCGTCGAATCGCACCACCTCACCTAGAAGAGCACCAAGTTTTGGCAGACCTGTGAGGTCGACAGGTTCGAGGAAGTGAATTGTACCGTATCCTTTCCTGCCAACCACCAAACCTTCAAAGGCTGAGAGCTGGCTGTGACCGGCCGTCTTCAGAGTCGCAAGGTCAGGCTTCACATAATAGTCACCCTCACCAAGCTCCCCTTCTATCACCGGAGCCTCTTTCGTGCCCTGTGCAGTGAACCGGTTGGGCGTGTGCTGGTGCTGTTTGCGTGATGCAGGTGTTGGTGATTCCAACCCACTACCGGGCAGCGGCGGTGGGTTAGCAGCGTCCTTTTCTCGTGCTGCCACACTCAGAGCGGGGCTGAATGTGACTTTGCCTGTTCGCATGGTACCTGGGCTACCTGACTTCACGAACAACTCTGATGGCTCGACTTTCTTGTCAAGGATAACCTTCTTCACACTCTGCCTTCCACCACTTCCCAACGACGGGCTGCCACTGCGTCCAAGGAAATCAGGGCCAACAGATGTTCCTCTGGCCTCCGACTTGTTTAATGACAGAACACCCGGCTTGCCAGACGTGAACGAGCCCGACGAGCTACCTGCGAGCGTCGATGACGTCAGCGAAGTCGATGATCCAAACCCGCGCAGCTTCGAGTTCGCCGGTGTGAACCCGAGCTGCACGCGCGGGACCGGGGATCGCGTAGGCATATCGAGGAAGAACCCGGCCTTTTTCTTCGGCGCGCTCTGGTCAAGGTCGACGATCCGCGGACCGGGGGGTAGCATGGCGAATATCGGCAGGTTCTCGCCAATCGGTTGTGTGATGGATGCGGTGAGCGTCCCTTGAGCTCCTGGCGCAATAACAGAAGCACCAAACAGGTTCGTGCCACCCATCTGGCTTCCGGAGAACGAGTTACCAAGGGCAGGGGCAGCAGGTTGCTTGGTCCCGAAGAGGTTGCTGCCTGCCGTGGACTGACCGAACGTATTGTTGCCAAAGAGCGAAGGCTGCTGGATCTGACCTGCAGCAGGTTGATTTGTGCTTCCAAACAAATTTGTGGTGGGCTGCGCAGGTTTTACTCCAAAGAGGTTTCCGAAGGGGTTGGTGTTTTGTTGCCCTTGCTGCTGCTGCTGCTGCCCTTGCTGTTGTGCATTACCAAAGAGACTGGTTCCTTGATTTTGGGTCCCAAAAAGTGAGGGTGCTGCTGCTGGCGCTGTGGTGTTGGTGCTGCCAAAAACTATTTGGGGCATTAGTTAACCCTCGCCAAGTGTTTCAGTGTGGGACACATACTAGAAGTTTGAGCTGGCTGCTGTTGAGTCTGTGGCTGTTGCTGCTGCTGGGTGTTAGTGCCAAACAGGCTGTTGCCGAAGATTGAAGTCTGCTGGGGTTGTTGGTTTGGCTGAGGTTGGGTCGTGCCAAATGCTCCTCCAGTGCCAAACACATTGGTTGTGGGCTGCGTTGTCGTTGCGGGCTGTCCAAATATTGATGGCTTATTGGCATTGGCAGTATTTCCTGGGAGAAAAGTGAGTAACGAGGGCAATTTGTTGTAGTAGGAAGCATACCGAAGGTTCCGAACGCGTTCGTATTGGTCGCTGGTTGAGTATTACCAAACAATCCACCTGGTTGTCCCGGTTGTTGCTGTTGCTGTTGTGTATTGCCAAAGGCAGGTGTTGTTCCAAACGCATTGGCTGTTGTGCCTAAGAAAAAAGTTCATAAAACCTGCGCTTTCAAGGCAAGGAGTTTCACTTACCAGTTCCGAATGGCGTGAACGCTGGCTTATTCCCCGTGTTCCCAAATGCCGGATTAGTAGTACCGCCGCCGAAGATGTTCGATTGTTGCTGGGGTTGCTGCCCAAAGGCATTGGTCGTTCCAAATGCGCTTGGTTGCTGCTGTGCTGGTTGAGTCTGCCCGAACGCACCTGTGCCCCCAAATAACGAATTCGTGGTCGTGGAAGCTGGTTGGGTGGTCGTTTGCCCAAAGGTGCCAAATCCTGCGTTGGCATTCGTGTTGGTTGCACCAAATAAGGATGGTTGCTGTGCTGCCTGGGCTCCGAAGGCGCTCGTAGTGGCAGGCTGCGCTGTACCAAACGCCGTTGAGCCGAAAGCACTTGTCGTAGCCGTTTTGCGGTTCTGAGCGTAGTCTTGCACCCGTAATTCCTGTTGAATAAGCGATAAATCGATGAGTTTGCGATCAAGGGAAGTACACGAACCTCGAGTGAGTAGCCAGCATACTGAGGCATACATGAGATGGTTTGGAACTGGAGTAGAGTGGTGCCGTCTTTCTCAGTTGTGACATTGTAGGCCGGGTTGGCTGTTCCGGTGTTAACTGTAGGGTGCGTAGTGGTTGTGGCGCCTTCATCGGAGGATAAATCTCGTTAATGGTGCGAAAGAAGCAATTGAGACTCACCTGCTAGGGAACTGCCAAATGTTGGTTTATTACCGCCAAACAACGAGTTTCCTCCACCGAACGCGCTCGTGGCACCCGTGTTTGCCGGTTGTCCGAAGACAGAAGTGGTGGCAGTATTAGTTGCGGGTTGACCAAACGCGCTTGTCGTTGTGCCTCCACCAAAAGCACTCGTCCCCCCGCCAAACGCGCCAAATCCGGTGGCTGGTTTTGCGCTGAACGCATTGGTCGTGTTGGTGGCACCGCCGAAAGTGCCTAGGAAACTCGAGTAAGTAGATAATCGAAAATAAGACAATAAATCCACGTACCAAACCCTCCGCCCGCGTTAGTATTGGTGCCTGGCGTTGTACCAATGTTGCCGAACATGGGGTTCACTTGTGGTTGCTGCTGTGTCTGCTGGGGTTGACCAAAAGTACTTGTAGTTCCGAAGGCTCCGACAGTGTCAAGACGCGCGACAATGACTCGGAGTAAGACGTGGACCCACCATTATTGGTCGTTGAGCCGAAAGCAGAAGGCTGTCCAAAGGCACTTGGCTGCTGCTGTTGCTGCTGGTTTTGTTGAGGATTAGACCAAGACGACGTGAACATGGTGGAAATCGTTGACGATACACGAAGAAAAGAGTGTTATCGCTGTCCAGCACAACGAGCAAGCCTTTGAGCCATGCTGGTAGAAATTCAGCGAAGTCATTTAAGGCTCCGATGCTGAAATTTCACACGCTTTGTCCTGCTCCTATTGGCTCCGTGCACGTGCACAATTTTGGGCTTCCCCGATTGGGGTGAAGTGATCGAGGCACTACTGTGACTACAACTTTTCAGAGACTTGCGAGGTCAAGCACCTTCGCGCCAAAAATGCCTGACGTGTCTAAAAGAACGAAACGGACGCCAAATTTCAACACTCTTGAGCGCGAAAAACTCTTCCGATCGCCCCCAAAGGACAGGGTGACGTACAACATCCTCAATGAGTTCGTTACGCCTCACATCGAATCCTTCAACGGGCTTTTCGACGATTCTGGTCTTCCTTCAGGCGATGGAGATGGAAGCGGCTTGCTCAGTCTGGCTCTGAAAGACATCGGGGAGCGTGTCGTGTTTGATGGAAATGGCCAAGTTGGTTCCGAGAGCGGTCCGGACGGTTGGGGGAACAGGATGCGAAGTGAGTTCCGCTCACAATCTGCTCTGGAGGTGATTTCTAAATTATCCATAGTATGGATCGAACAGGTCACTATTGCGCGGCCTATGGTTCCCGACAAAGATAGGACTGCCCTGGAGCGTAGAGTCTTTCCAACCGAAGTCAGTTTAATTCCAGAACTGTGTTATTCGTTTTCTCATTCGTTTAGGCCCGTGAGCGACTGACGTCGTATCGCGGAAGGATGACCATAAAGCTATGCTGGTCCGATCCTTCTGGACAGGTCAATGATCTAGTGAAGGATTGTGGTCTGATTCCAATTATGGTTCGGGTATGTGCTACCTGCTAGCTTCAATTGCCCGGTCTAAAGAAACAAATCCCAGTCGGTACGCTGCAATCTACGGTCCATGTCCTCAGCAGATCTTGTTCGGCATCATGAGGAACCTGAAGAATTTGGAGGCTACTTTATTATCAACGGAAACGAACGTCTCATCCGTTACCTCATTCTACCACGCCGAAACCATGTCATTTCTCTCCTTCGTCCATCCTTTGCCAACCGAGGCCCTTCATACACACAATATGCCGTCCAAATTCGTTGCGTCCGGCCTGACCAGACAAGTGTCACCAACACGCTGCATTATCTGCAAAATGGAAGTGCGATGCTTCGGTTTACATGGCGAAAGCAAGAATATGTGATCCCAATTATGCTCATTCTCAAAGCCCTTGTCGGGGCATCTGACAGAGAGATATTTGAAGGTATAATGATGCAAGATTACGAAAACACCTTCCTCTCAGATCGTGTCGAATTACTGCTGAGGAGTTTCAAGATGTACACGATGCACATCGGCGAACAATGTTTGGAATATTTGGGTGACAAGTTCCGCGTTATTTTGAACTTGCCAGAGGATTGGTCGAACGCTGCACAAGGTGCATGGTTGCTCCAGAAAATGGTTTTGGTCCACTTGGATTCTCCCAGAGACAAATTCCGGATGCTTATGTGAGTAATCCATCACCAAAAGGTCCCGCCAAGTTCTAATGCCGAATATACTAGCTTTATGCTTCGAAAACTGTACGCGACCGTGTCAGGGGCTTGCTGTGCAGACAACCCTGATTCCCCTCAGCACCAGGAAGTACTTCTTCCTGGTAGTCTCTACGGCATGATCATCAAGGAACGCATGGAGGAAATCCTGAACAACATTCGCTCGAGCATATCTACAGACGTAAGAAATGGCGTTGCGGTCGATTTCCATGACAGTTCGTGCAACTATTTCCTGCTTTTCTGCGCAATGCCCATAACAACATCGGATAGAACGTTATTTCATGAAGATTTTGTCCAAGATCAATTTCGACATCGGGTCAAAACTCTCCAACTTCTTAGCGACTGGCAACTTGGTCTCCCCTACAGGTCTCGACTTGCAACAGGCTTCCGGATTTACGATCATTGCTGAAAAGTTGAATTGGCAGCGTTATATCAGCCATTTCCGATGTATACATCGTGGTGCTTTCTTCGCTGAGCTCAAGACAACGACCGTTCGTAAATTATTACCAGAAGCATGGGGTAAGGACGGTTTCATTTTCACCATCCCAGCTAATGATTCTAACCAGTCCTAACTCAGGTTTCCTCTGTCCTGTACACACCCCTGATGGCTCTCCTTGTGGCCTTCTCAACCATCTTTCAAGGACCTGTCGAATTGTTACCAGTCCGTTGTCTGTTGCCCACATTCCTGCTCTCCTCGCAGCTCATGGGATGACGCAAGCCTTCACGCCATCCATTGACGGCGGGAGAAATATCTGTGTGCAACTAGATGGCCGAGTCATTGGCTGGGCACGTCCGGCGGTGGCCAACCAACTCGCCAATAATCTTCGGATATGGAAGACTGAAGAAAAGCAAGAAGTTCCTCTGGACCTGGAGATCGGTCTTGTGCCTGAATCGAAGGGTGGTCAATATCCTGGTCTTTTCCTGTTCTCTACAAGAGCTCGCATGATGCGGCCAGTCAAGTATCTCCCAAATGGACGCGATGATCAGGTTGGGCCTTTTGAACAGGTCTATATGGACATTGCTTGCACCCCCGAGGAGATTGACCCCAGTATCTGTACACACGTTGAACATGACCCAACAAACTTTCTTTCCATTCTTGCTAATCTTACACCCTTCTCTGATTTTAACCAGGTATGCCCACATTTTTTTTTCTGGTTGATGCAATACCCTAATGTCTTCACCAGAGCCCTCGAAACATTTATCAGTGCCAGGTCTGTGCAATGCTATTCACGTCGTGCATGAGCTCTGACACTCTCTGATTAGATGGGTAAACAGACTATGGGAACACCATCTACAGCTCTGCAACATCGGACGGACAACAAACTGTATCGACTGCAAACGGGGCAATCTCCTGTTGTGCGCCCTGCTTTACATAACACCTATGCTATGGATGCCTTCCCCAACGGCACCAACGCTGTCGTCGCGGTTATCTCTTATACCGGCTATGACATGGAGGATGCTATGATCCTCAACAAATCGGCGCACGAACGGGGCTTTGCCTATGGCACAGTATACAAGTCGCAGATCATTGATCTCAAGGATGTGCGAGGCGCGTCTAAATCAACTTCTGCACCTTCATTACACTTCGGGCTGGGAAAAGACATCGTCACGTCCGGAGAAAAGACTCACAGCTGCATAAACATCTTGGACGGTGACGGCCTGCCAGGTGTGGGAGTTAAATTGCAACCCGGAGATTACATCGCTGCGTATATTGACGACACTACTGGCCGGACGAAGTTCGTTAGGTATAAAGGCGACGAGATAGCATATGTCGATCAAGTGCGACTGCTAGGTACAGTTTTTCATCCGGTGCCTTTCAAAACATTGTGCTTACGAGTGGCATAGGCAGCGACGCAGGCGACAGCGAACTTCAAAAGTTGCATATCACCTTGCGCATCACCCGTTCGCCTGTGATTGGAGACAAATTTTCGTCAAGACACGGACAGAAGGGTGTCTGTTCTCAGAAATGGCCTGCAGTTGATATGCCTTTCAGTGAAAGCGGGCTTCAACCTGATGTCATCATTAATCCTCATGCCTTCCCAAGTCGAATGACCATCGGCATGTTGGTAGAGAGTATGGCAGGAAAGGCTGGTGCAATGCACGGTCTCGCTCAGGATGCCACGCCGTTCAAGTAAGCCCTTTGGATGGTCCGTCAATGATGCTTCTGCAACTGATGTATCATTCATCTCCAGATTTACTGAGAAAGATACAGCAATCAATTACTTTGGTGAACAACTCCTGGCAGCTGGTTATAATTATTATGGGAACGAGCCTATGTACTCGGGTATAACGGGTCAAGAATTCGCTGCAGACATCTACCTCGGCGTCGTCTACTATCAACGTCTACGGCACATGGTGTTGGACAAGTTCCAAGTCCGGACAACTGGTCCCGTTGATCCACTGACGCGACAACCTGTCAAAGTAAGTCGCCTCGAGTAAGGACCAGACTACGCTTTTAATATGGCTTCGCCAATCTCTAGGGTCGCAAACGTGCTGGAGGTATCCGTTTCGGCGAGATGGAACGGGACGCTTTGATCGCCCACGGAACTTCTTTCCTTCTGCAAGACAGATTGATGAACTGTTCTGACTACTCAACTGCATGGGTCTGCCGGACGTGTGGAAGTCTGATTTCACTTGGGTACGACGATATCAGCCTGGGTGAAATGGTAGTAGGGAACTCAGGGTCGCTGAAGCCTACTGGACCAGGTGGAGAGTACTGCCGAGTATGCAGAGCTGTTGCAGAGCAGCAGGAAGAGTATGAGCGTCAAGCGATGGCCACTGGACGGCACCTGCAGCGTCCACAAGCTGATATTCGCGTAGCCATATCCTCCCAGCAAGTGCTCAGACAAGCTGCATCAAAAGGCGGCGACCTCGACGTCGTAGCCATTCCTTATGTCTTTAGGTATCTCTGTGCTGAACTAGCATCGATGGGCATTGCTGTATCATTAGAAATTCAGTAGCAGTAGTACCTTGTTTATATTACCGTCAAATTGTACTTCTTGCTCCACACGATAACGACCATGAATTCGCGAGAATACAATTAATGTGATCCAATGAGTTGTTACAAAAGAGTGCGTGCAATGGGTTCCAAAGCCCTCGGTGTGGAATAGCGTTAACGAACGAAGTGCTACCCCCCAATATACAGCCACATATATTTAAGAATGAAGCAAATCCAGACAGTTGAGTTAAGAATATGGTATATGGTATATCGAATAATAACGGGGGTTTACCGGGGGTTACGCTGGGGTGGGCACCATAGAATGGCTGGTCGCAGCAGGAGTGTTCTGAGATGCACTTGCGCTCGGCCGCCTGGGAGTCGGTAGGCCATCCGGGGGCGGTTCTTGGTTGGAGGAGGGCAACTGAGGGACAGGCTCTGATGAAGCCGAACCACCGAGGAAGAGGTGTACAAGAGAAGACTCCAAAGAACTTTCTGGGCCTGTATACGGCGTATGCTTTACAATAGAAGGTGGAGGAGACGGGTACGGTACGTCTTGTGCCTTGGGTCCTCTTGAGATACCGCTGCGAGCCATGAACATGTCGAAGATGAGACGGCATTCGTCCGCGGAGGTTGCGTTCGAGAAGAGACGTTGCATGGCGCGCAGGTCGAGCTCCGCAATGCTCGGCGGAGGAGGGGCGACCACTGGCGGTGGTGGCTTGCGGACGGGCGACGACACAGGCGTTGGATGGGACGTCGTTCGCACTGGTACAACAGGGCGGCTGTCTGGAATGCCTTCTTTCACTGGTGCGGGAACAGGAGCGGGGTTCGTCCTGGCATTGCCATTACTTGGGACAGGAATAGGGAGGGGACGAGGAGGGGGTTTCTCCTGGGGTGATTTCTCCTGAGGCGATTGCGCCTGAGGTGCGGGTCCTCTACTGAAAGAAGCAGCAGGCGTAATGAGAGGTGCTGGAGCTAACGGAGGGGTAGGAGCGGAAGGAAGGGCAGGTCGCGGCCGATCGATAATAGGAGACTGTTCAACACCGTAAGAAGGCTCGCGAGATACGGTGTCCTGATAAGGCTTTCTGATGGACCTGCCAACAGACTTATTCTCGTCAGACTGAGATGAATCTTGAGAAGGCGACGCAGGCGGCGAGATGGGCCGAGGCATACGTGGAGGAATGGGTCTATTGGCGAGAGACGACAGCGTGCCCTGCGATGTTTTGGAGGTAATCACAGGACGGACAGGGGCGTAGACACTAGGAGCTTGCTTTGCGTGGGGGGTTCGGGGACTGTCTGGTACTGCCTTGGTTTTCTCCCCGTTGCCCAAATTCAACTTCGATATCATCCTTTGAAGGCGACCCGTGCCTTTCGACTTCGTCGTCTCTAGCGACTGCATGCTAGCACCATAGTCCGGCGGGCCCTCTGCAAGGAAGTCGACCAACTCTTTCCCACTTTTGGATAATTTGGGCTCGGGGGGTCCTTCAGCTAAAAAGTCCATCAATTCCCGAGTGCTTGCCGACACGGCGTGAGGTGCTGCCCGTCTTGGAGTGCTGGGGGGTGAGCGCACGATCTGATTTCCACGAGGGGGAGGGAGAGGTTCTTGATCATCATCTGAGCCGTTCATCACATCATCCAAATCCAAAGACTCCCGGTTTCGCTGCCTGACTCGAGTCCGCTGAGGAAAGCCATTGTTGTCAGGGACTTTGGGCAAGCGATAGTCTCGACCTTGAACCATGTCGACAGCAGGGGCAACAGGGTTGGAGTAGGCAGATGGTGCGATGGTTGCGGAGGGGGAGCGCGTTGGCTTTCGCGCAGAGCTGCTGACTGTACCTGAGGTCGACACCGAGCGTGCGCGCGCTGGAGCTGCGCCGGCGAGGGGTAAAGTGGGGGGAGTTGCGACACTGGCTTGCCTTGAGCGGCTCTTCTGGCCGGTGTGGAGCTCTTCGTCCTCTTTGATAGAGTGGACCTGGCGCAGGGACGGCCGTTGCGAGTTGGAAGGGAACTCTGGCTCGGAGTTGGAAGAGAAATGGCGGCGGCTTGTGTTTCTCTGATCTTTTTCTTGTTTGTACACCTGGGAACAAAGCTTGTGAGCCGATGACTAAGCAGCCAATATCGAAAAAATGCACCTCCATTGTTTTCAATCGATCAGGAGTAAGGGACACCTTCATCGTTGATGCAGAGCGCATCAAATCATCAAATTCCCGAAGCATGGCGGCATCCTGAAGGAGGGATAATGTTTTAACAGGTCTGCAGAGGAGCACCCATTACAGGGGACTTACTTCAGTAGGACTCGAACCAATGTCATCTGGGAGATGTCTAGAACTCTCGCTCTTGATAGATTCCGACTTCTTATGTCCATTCTGTGAACCACCTTCTCCACTGGTTTTGCTATTCGCAAACATTCTGATCGCTTTAACCTTTTCGAACGACGGCCTCGACGTGGAGTTAGCTGGAGAGATTGGCATGGTTGTTGATTGTCCGTCCAGGGAGTGTCGAGTACGTGAGCTGTCAGAGTTCACTAAAGTAAGATCGTTCGGGGAGGATGTACGCGAGATGGAAAGCCGGTCACGTCTTACGGACTTCTTCCTGGTGGGTAGCGGGGGTTGGGCCATATGTTCGATTTGTTGGTAAACTAACGGCCTCGCATGGTAAACACAGGGATGGGGGACAACATAGCTAAGGCACGCACCTTTCATCGCCCTAAAGAGGCCATAAATTGAATCGTCTTCACAAAGGGCGATAAATAGGTCGTTGACAGTTGCGTAGGTCCGACTGCTATCACGAGCGGCAACCCTCCCTACATTCGAAAGAATATGTCTGAAGGTGTCGTTCAGCAAAAAGACCGTAATATAATAGATATCTTGAGACGTACTCGCACATTGACCTGTGGTATGAATGATGAGACGTTGGCAGAACTGCAACAAACTCGATACATACTCGATAATGGCCGTTAAATACAAGGCTGCAGGATCGAGGAGCGCGACCTTGGGTGGATGTGGGTGGACTTTGGCGAACCGCTCGTTCACGCGACTCTCCGCAGCGGGGTCTTCATCCTCCTCGTTCAGCGTCGAGTACGCTTCGCACTTAAAGCGTAGTAACTAATCAAAGGTGAGTCGCAGGCCATGAGGAATGGGGCGGCACTTGCCTCAAATGCCCATTGGAGATGGAAAGTCCCACCGTCATCTTCCAGCAACGGTTTTGGCTCGGTCCTTTCCCAATATGCCCTTAGTTCGACCTCGGCCTCCAACAAAGCTTCCTTTCCTAAACTCGTGGGGAGCAGACTGAGAAGACTGGCGCGCAGCTTGTCGGTGGCGAGTGAGCGGGAAGTGCTGAGAATATTGTGGAGAAATTCGTCGAGGAAAACGTTGATCGCACGTAGTGCATCCGCCCTAAGCTTTATCGGCCGTATGTCAGAGAGAATGACGTCCGCAGAATGGGCGGAGATGTAGGAAGGCCCTATAAGAATATAAGCGCATGCTGGCAGTGACGAGAAACGGCGAGCGCACCATTGCCGTCGACGACACCAGGCATTGTCGGGGTCAAAGTGACAGAAAGGAAGGGTCGCGCGCAATTGATCAGACTGAGACTTTCCCAGAACAGACAGCCCCAATGTGGATCGCCACATCTCTCTGATTTCCCAGGCATGCTCGACAACCGCGGAGGCATCTCATCATCTAATGCATCCATACCCACATCTATCAACTCCAATTCTCGGTACATAGTACACTATACAGTCTATAGAAACTGCTGCGACGCTCTGTAACCGCTGGTGGTTACACCGAGGCGCACTATGCACGGTCAACGAATGACAGCTCTGTCAGCATGTTCTCCACTGCATCTTCATCGCTACTAAACCCAGCACGAACTGCCTCGCTTTCGTAACTCGGCTTGCCATCACCCTCATCTTCACCACTGCCCAGTCCTGGTCGAGTAGGCGATAGGGGCTGTTGCGGCTTCTTCATTCCGCTGCTTCCCTCTTGTTTTCCGGGCCAGAAAGTCAGCCCGTCGTCAATCATTTTCGAAATCCTGGCAGAGTCAAGATCCCCAAGATGCATATCAACCGGTTGCGATAATAGCGACGAGTACCGCGTAGTGCGAGCGGTCAGGAATTCGTAGTCGTTGCTCGGTTCGATAGCTGGCGCGCCAGTAGACCGTGCCGTCTTCCTCGTGCGCTGTCTTGGTTTTTCTTGATCCGATTCAACGATGTTGCGGAGCACCTGGAAAGTCGCGATCAGATGATTAGAGGTTACCGACCTTTCCAATTCAGTAAATTTACCCAGGGTCCCAGTAACGCATGACGCTGCTGCGAAATCGGCCACGATTTTACCGGCCCTGTAACGATCAAGAAAGCGGGAAGGCTACCGGGCAGCGCACCCACTGGCTTGAGTGTGGGGAGGGCGGGCTTGGCGGAAGGCCTCAGTTTGTCTTTTTCGTGTTTAGCTTTGAAATGCTTGAGTAGCTGACCACCAGTTCGGTACGACTCGTTACAGTCTAGAAATTATATTAGAGTCATTGGGTGTTCTCATCTCAATCACACACTCTCACCTTGATATGCGCAACGAAGAGGGGACATCGCATGCTTCTCGAAGTGTTTGTCTCTGTAATCACATCGGCGGCCACACTGAGTCCACAGACACGTAAAATACTGAAGAAATAATAGATCAATGTTGGGATTATAGATATCTTTCAAGAAAAGATACGAACATTTAGCTGTGCCCGCGGAGGTTTATGTTGCTCATTGAGATGTCGAATCAAGGACTTCACAGAGTTTAAGACAACATCACAACCGTTCCAACGGCATGACATCTCTTGCACTCTGGTACAAGCCAATTGAATGGCTTCTCTTTCAGCGGGGTCTGAGGCAAAACACAACACTCAACCTCCTCGCAACCAGGGAAGCAATCTGGCAAACTCACCAGCGGACGACTCAGAATCCGGCCGACTTTCAAGCGGGTAGTAATTCCACTGGTCTGTATTCACAATGGTACCAACACCATAAGAGAAAATGAACAAAAAAGTTAAAGATCATTAAAACACCCCAACCCGACTAATGCTTCCACACACCTTCTACTCCAGCTCGAGATGACGACCCTGATCGCGACTGGTCCGCTGAAGCCGACGTCGACGCAGACGCGGTCGCATTAGTAGTCGTGCGCCGACGAATCACGATTTCCGACCCGCTCGGAGCCACGCGACGTTCCGCTTTCTTCCGTTCGTATTCCCTTAACGCGACGAGGTAGTCGGGGGGCGGGGGTACAAGTATGTAGGGGATCTTCCTCCTCGCCTTAGTCTTCTGGTGACGCGCCTTCGTCGCACCTGGCGGCAGGGCAAGTGACTCGATTTCTTCGATGGAAGAGACTGAATCCCTTCGGGATGACATCCGCGGCTCTGGTGACGGTGACGGCAGGAAAAGAGGTTCCTTTTTTTGAAGTGCCGCCGGCCCTGGCTCGGGCGAGGTTAAGTCGATGACGGCACTCGAAGCGGCTTGGAGTGGCGTCACACGTGAAGCACTCGCCACTGACTTCAGAGAGCTTGAATTTGCCAGGTTAGTCTTTCTGGGTAATGCCTTTCCAGAAGTACGCGACTCGATGGCGTCGACAAGATTTGCAACTTTTGGTGCGTTGGTAGAAGACGATGTGTGCGTGGACGGAACCTTTGTCTTCGACGAGCCCGGAGTAGATGCAGGATTCTTCTTCAGAGTTGACAGGTCGACCTTGGGCGGCGGCTTGCTCGCTGACGGTGCAGACGAAATAGAAAATACAGCTTGCGACCTTTGAAACATAGGCTGAGCAGACATAGTAGACAACATGTGGTATGGCGTGGCACCCGAATGGAAGTAGTTGTAAGATGGCGCAGGTGCGGGCATGGTACCAACAGCGGGCGAAGGCGTTGGCTCGGTAACAGGTGGTTGGGTCTGGAAGGAGCCCGACAAGAAAGGTCGGGTCGGTGTCCCATAGGGTGTAGACAAACTGGAAGGCGCTGGGACTGTTGTTTGGGGTTGTATTGTTGCAGTAGGTTGCTTATCGGTAGCTTGTTGACGCGGAGCTGTTGTCGATTTTGAGGTCGCTGCGGTAGACGCGCTGGTAGGATTCCTCGAAGGCGGCAGTGGCAACGGCTCTACGGCTGATGTGGAGGCTTGTCCTGGCACCAGCCGCATCGCAGTATTCGGTATGGCAGCAGACCCTTTGAATGACGAAGGTAGTTGGGTTTGGTCGTTGGCTGCATATGCGGCATTTACGGCTTGGGTTACGGTTGCTGCAGCCGATTGACTTGTCGGGTGAGTAGTTGTTACAGTCGCAGCCGGTACAGACCCCACGGCCTGCATGTGAGGTGTTTCGCTGACAGGCGCACCCGAAACAGCAGGAGCTGGTACGGTTGTCGTGGTTGAGGCTGAAACAGCCGAAACGATAGCAGGCCTTTCAACTGGTACGGTCACAGGAACTGCCGTATCCAACCCGCCAGCTCCCTCCTGGGCCAGAACCATCGATTCCACAGCCTGCCTCTTCGCTGGGCGTTCATCAGGTTCAGCTGGGCGTTTGAGAGCCAACAAGATGTCTCGAGCGAGATGTTTAAGATTGGCATCCCGTGGTGAGCGCCAATTATTACCAACAAGAGTCTTGGGCACGTCCTTCATAGGAGACGAAGGCCGAACAGCTGGAGTAGTCGGAATCGTAATTACCGCAGCCGCCGGCACCTGTGCTGGAGCTTGATGACGAACAGGGCGCCCAGCTGGGGCCGACGCAGGAAGTGTTACTTGAACTAGTCGTTGAGCTGATAGTGGTTCAGTGGATGCCTTCACAGCTGCCAGGACTTGTGCTGGCTGCGGCCCTGAGGGAACTCGTGGAGTCTGCAGGAGCGTTTGCTGAGGCTGAACTTGAGAACCATATTGGTCCATCAGCCTGGCCTTCGCCAGCAGTTCATGGAAGAACTTGTCCGTTGAATGAACTTCGGTCCCATTCTTCGTGTCGACGACAATACGGACCATAGATTGATCATCCTTATAAACTCTCCACTGCTTGCTCTCGGATATTTCGGACAAAGAGTTCGGAGGAGCTGTTTTGGCCCAGTTCCTTACCTTGGCCATGCAGTTGAGGACATAGTCAACCGTGGGACTAGGCACAGCAGAGGATTGAGAAGACGTTGAGTTATTCTTGAAAGCACCACCAACTTGTTTGGCTGTGGAAGAAGACTTCGGAACAGAAGCAAGTGGAGGAGTAGGGATTTGAGCTTGGGCAGAAACCTTTGCGGCGGAGGGCGGTGGAAGACTAGGTGTAGCGGAGTTGAACGCCTTGCGTCAAGAATCAATCAGCGGTCAAGTTGGGCAAGGCGAGTAAACATACAACGACGTCTTGCTTTGTAGTGTTAGTATTCCCTTTGTCTGCTCGGCCAGAACCTACAGAAGTTGACACAGTCACAACAGGTCCTGTTCCTTGTGAGCATTAAGATATCAATGAAACATGTCATAAAGACGTACCGGACGATTGGAAGTGATTGTATGGCTGATACGGGGGGAGATTGGCCTGGCCCAGTCGCATGGTTGAAGATGTTGCTTGGGTAGAGCCCGAGGCGTGTAGTTGACGGGGCATCGGTGGATGGACTTTATGGACAGGTTGCTGGTTAACAGTTCGCCCCGCTGTAACACCAACTGGGAGAGACGATGTAGATGCATGTTGGGTGGATAGATGTGCAGGAGACGCAGGGGGCATTTGAATAGCTTGTTGTTGCCCTCCAACGCCTTGATGACCATTGTGGATATGGACCATCTGTGACCTTCTGGGATCTACATACGCCCCATTCGCGATCCCCGGCTGGTTACCAAAATATTGCTGATCGACAGACCAGACTTCTCCATACGGGTACGTTGCCGCATAATGATAGGGCTGCACAGTAGAGGGGTGGGCAGCTTGAGGAAGAGAATGCATATTCGACGCAGGAAAACCATAGGGGGAGAATTGCCTCTGACCCTGTATCGCTATTAAGGAGGGTCGCGTTGTTCGAGAATTGCTTTACTTACCGTCTGAGCACCACCAGAAGGTACTTCCTGAGTTCGCCCTGCACTTGGCTCCATCTCTACCATTGGGTTTGGTGGACGTTGTGAACTCGAGGTAAGGCCCAGCAGTCTTGAAGAAAGGCAGATACAGTGAACTCAAACACATGCTGGTGGAAGCAGACCACTCACTGTTGCTTCCTCAGTCTGTGACTTGTCAGAACGGTGGCATCCGAGTCGAATACAGAATACTCACTGGGCCTGCTGAATTAAAGCTTCGCATTCGTGTATTTCCCGCTGCCTATCGTATTCATGCAGGGCTTCATCGTTCACCTTTTCGATATAAGTGAGCCTCAGTGTGTCCTCGCTTGCCCGAGTCTCTCGACATTTACCTGGTACCGCTCCGGGATAATTGGGTAGCCGTTCGGTCGACCATGCGACATGCTTCTACGCGGCCTGAAGACGATGAAAGAGATCTAGCGATAGCAAGGGCAGGAGCCCTTGTAAACATAAAGTAAGAGGTGACTGAGACGCGTTGTTGACTGATCACTGTCGTGGGAAGCGGGTCATCACAAGTCGCAATTGAGGTTACATCATGGACAGACATGTCCCTTCTCCACCTAGCGCGACAGGTGCGACACGTCCATCAGCATGTACGAGCTTTTGCTGCAATATCATCAAATTCACCACCACCTCCAAGCTTTACGACAGTCGGGCCTTACCAGGTTTTTGACCGCAATGTAAAGCAAATGCAGCGAGACAAGGCCGCCCTGCGTGAAGGAGGTGAACGGAGTCGGACTGTGGACTACGTGAGAGATGAGGTCGCAGACAGAATGATGGAACGGTTTCTGGTATGATTCCTCGAAATACACTTTGCGCACCGTGCTGATTGATTTTCTTGAGGACATCAAACGGAAATTTGGCATCATCCTTGACCTTGGGTCTGGCCCAGGGCATTTCTCCAAGTTACTGGAACTTGACAAAGTCGAAAAATCTATCATGGTTGATTCTAGTGGTACTTCGAGAAGCTCGTTCACACTTGATTCTCTCTCATGGAATGACAGAGACCACTCTCAACCGCGATCCGGATGCAGAGTTTGAGGGTATGTTCGTACCCCCAAGGGTTCATGCGTTCCAGTCTCACGATCGGTCTTAGTTAAGGTTGAACGAGTGCATGGGGATGAAGAAAACCTGATGAAGATTGTATCGCCTGACTCTCAAGAAGCAGTTGTGTCGTGTCTGAGTCTTCATTGGGTTAACGATTTGCCAGGTAAAATTAAACAGCTTTCATCGAACGTTATGTCTGACGGCCCTTGTGAAGGAGCTCTCGTACAAATACAAAAAGCTCTCAAACCTGACGGGTTGTTCCTTGGGGCCATGTTTGGCGGAGATACGCTATTTGAGTTAAGGTTGCGCAGAATTTGTCTCCAATCTTGTCTCTTTAAAACCTTATAAATTAGGACGTCCTTACAGCTGGCTGAAGTCGAACGTGAAGGTGGAATATCACCACACATTTCGCCCATGACAGGTGGGTGCCTTCCTTCCTTCCTGACGGATTATCTTCTCATATTCTCAGATACTCGTGACATCTCTAATCTCCTTGGTCGAGCGGGCTTCACAATGCTCACGGTTGACATCGATGAAGTGAAAGTGGCCTACCCAAGCATGTGGGAACTCGTGGAGGATCTCCAAGATATGGGAGAAGGGAATGTTGTGATCGGAAGGCATGTCTACTGTTCGTGAGAACATCTATGTTACTTACGAAGAGCAGGCGTCACTTCGTACACCGCGATACACTGGCCGCTGCTTCGGCAATCTATAAAGGTTGGTTCCTCTGTCACCCTGAGCTTCTTTTAATAACGCCTCTGATTAGAAATGTATGGGACTGGGGACGGATCTGTCCCTGCGACATTTCAGGTAATTTACATGGTATGTAGCAAGAAGTTTTCACCTCTTCTAGCGCTAATTGGTTCTTTAGATTGGGTGGAAACCTGCACCGAATCAGCCTAAACCGCTAGAACGAGGCTCCGGACAAGTGAATTTGAAAGATGTTTTATAATGAGCTCCGGCCCTTTCCCACTGCGATCGACATTGGTGTGCTTCCAGGTTCTTTATCAGATGGACGCCCGTTCAGAAACACTCCAGCAAATCCCAAATGACAACTCCTAGGTACTTTTTCCGTGGATGTTATCTTGGCTCTGTCCATGGACATCCTGGACACCATCTATTAAGGTTTACAATGAGCGGTCCTTGAGAATTATCCCCATTGGCGTAGATTCATGATTTGTTCGTGTACGATGGGACGTCTTTCTACACCACGCGGCAGCCAGCCGCCGGTTCATGGACACCCGCTTTGAGAGTGAACGTACACCACAATGAACGCTGGCGGTGATGATCATGTGTTCCTTCTCTTCATGATATGCTACTGGGACCAGGACCCTTGTTGTTCACATGAAGGGTGAGGCCCGGGTATCCGACGAGTTGTATGATCCGTAATGACTTTGTGTGCTTGAAATCCTCTCAGCTAGACCCGTAAGCTTGGATGATTACTACTAGGGACGACGAGGACATTGACAGAGGAAGATTCAGTCCTTGTATGGCTTTCCAATTACCTAAATTAGGCTCCTACAGGACTCCGAAAATATCTCGATGGACCGACCGCCTGACTCTTAGGAGTGTTCTCCAAGTGCTTATCTCCCACTTCACCCATCAGATCCGTGGCGACGAAACTAACATTCGTCATTAGGTCATCTAGTTGGCACTTAGACGTATGAATAGGTACAGGATCGGAGGATGTAGCCCCTTTCCTCGCATTTCGTTTAGGCTACATGTCACAGTCAGATGGGACCAATTTTGAAAGAATTTGAACGACTATGTAATCCAGCTATCGAACACGGAGGACAATATTAATTAATCCGCTAGTGAGGGCCGTTGTGCCGCGAGCGTAAAGAGAGGCCCTTATCAGGCTCTCAAGTCCACGAGGTTAATGCCACTCCGTCCCGCAACCCACAGAGGTCTACATCATAATGACACCTCGTCGGCTGCGCACTCTACCGCCGACGCGTCTGTAATTGCCTCGTCATTGCCTTTTCCTCCTTGCTGGAATTTCCGTTTGGGAATGATGGAGTTAAACGCTTGTTCCCAGTCCTTCGTCTCGACCCACTTAACCAAAATCTCAAAGACCTGGTTCACTGTCAGCACTTTGCGCGTGGGGAGAGAAGAAAGATAGCGTCCGATGGGCAGACGAGCGGTACGTATGCCTGATTCTTTCGCTTTATTCAGGCAAAGGTTCTGCGGGTGATAACGTAAATAAGAAGGTTGAAGATTACTGACGCTCGAAGGAGAGTGCTCACCTTATATCGGTTGTGATCGACGATTCCTCCAATGATATACGTCTCGTCTGGTTTGAGCTCTAAGAGCTCGTCTTCAGTGTCTGCTGTGAGATACACGAAGCTGCTTTTCTCTGCGCGTTTCCGCACGCTCTGGTCACCGGGTTTCCCTTCCACGGTAGCAGATGCTCCCTCAGATGTCCAAACTTTTTCGTGCCCTTCGATACCGCTGGAAAGGCCGGCCTCAGCTTGAGGAGTGTCGTCATGCATTGAAACAGGAGCAGCTTCCGGATCCTCCCAGAGACTCTCATAGCTGTCCAAAGACCATTTGGTGTTCGACCACCTTCTGTGACTTGCGTCTCCCAGACTGTCGAGACGCTTCTCTATTCGACCGCCGAGGGACGTGAAGGTCAAACCAAAGGGGAAGGACGCCTGGCGGTTGGTGCTATATGTGTATGCAAGTTGGGAGCACAAAGATACGACTTCCTAAGCGCAATAAATATGGTCAGCGGTGCATCTATCGGAAGGAGAGAAGGTTCGTACTTGATTGTGCTCACCTTGTCGCTCATCATGTTGTCGAAATCCAGGTCGACCACGACATTTCCACCGAATTGAAGCCTCGGCCTCTTCGCCCGTCTTCGCCTTTCTTCCTCTTCGACTTCGTCGATTTCCCCTGCTGCTCGCTTTTCAGCCAGCAATCGTTTTTTCTCTTTCTTTGCCTCTTTCTCGCGGGCGCGACGGTCGAGTTTCAACGCGGCAAGTCTTTCCGCCTTGGCAGCCTTCTTCATCGCGCTCTTCGACATAGGCTGTGCAACAAGGTTCTGGACATCTTGCGCGGCGTCAGGTGTGTCCACGTTGTTCTGAGATTCGGCGCTGAGATCGCGCGAGGATAGAGGAGGTTCTGTGGTCTGTCCAACGTTATCCATCGAGTCACAGCCTTGAAGTTTGATTCTGACGTTATCGTCAGAATGGAGGGTGTCACTGCCTAGCTCAAGACGGGTTCCTCAGCTCGCAGAGGGGAATCTTCACGGAGGACGGCAGACGGCAACCAGAACGGCGTTGTAGCGATTTAGAGGACCGGTAGATGCCGATGCTCAGCCCGAGATCGATTATATCAGGTCAACCCGGAACCGTTTTGTGGACGTTGTGGACAATCATCGCTAGCATCCTCGCTGCTATCTTCTTCAAGTCCACGCACCTTGATTCTCCTCGTCTACCTCCACCCATCCAAGACCACATCCCAGAACATTCGACGCCTCGCCTCACCATGGCAGTCGCTGCCCTTCAATACCTCACCGTTCCTGCAGCTACCCGACACACCGCGACAGTATTCTTTGTTCATGTGAGCACTCGTCTGCCAAGAGGAGGATGCAGATAGACAAATCTTCCTATGCCCCCGTGTAAATTCGGTGTCCTAATTTTTCGGACCCGGACAGGGACTGGGCGACACTGGTCAAGGCTGGGAACCAGTAGCCGACATGTTCAGAGCAGATCCCGCTCTTGCGCACGTCAAGTGGGTTCTGCCACACTCGTACGTAGGAATTTTTACCCTGTAGCGACTCTCGCTAATGCTGCTTCTTATTCTATCGCGTCTCTGTGCTTCTTCTCTCAATGTTGTTCTTGATCTCTCTGAAATTTTCTATTTCCAAGGCCTCAACGACCTGTCACCGCAAATATGGGCATTACTATGCCGTCTTGGTCCGCCTCTCCTCCTAACCACAGAGGTTCCGCTGACCTCATGATAGGTTCGACATATACTCGTTTGGATTCGATACTGCGGAAGATGAAGAAGGCATGCGGACGTCCGCTGGGTTGATCAAAGACTTGGTTAAACTCGAAATCGAGAAGAACGGAATTCCGGCCAACCGAATCCTCCTTGGAGGATTTAGTCAAGGAGGCGCCATGTCGCTCCTTGCTGGTCTCACTGGGGAGTTCAAACTAGCTGGGCTCACTGTTCTCAGCGGTTGGTTACCTTTGCGCTCTAAATTTAAGGATGTGTGTATTTTCGAGTCATCTTTGCCTCGCTTGCTAAGGAACACTATTTACCAGATGGCCTCCCCTAATGCGATCTCTACCCCCATCTTTTGGGGTCATGGAAGCGCAGACCCGCTAGTGAAAGCTCAATTTTCGAAAGATTCTGCAGACTTCCTCACAGAACAGTTGGGAGTCCCTCTTGCAAAGCCTGGACAACCTGGGGGTCTCTCCTATAACGTGTACGAAGGCATGGGGCATACGACCATACCGAAGGAACTGGATGAATTGAAGACGTTTATAAAATCCGTCCTTCCTGCCAACACAAACTGATCGGAACAACGCTTTACAGCATGGGCCTAGGTTTGGATTTAGGTCGCGTGGTTTCTCGTCGTTCTTCGTGTTTTGTTGCTCCACTCTGGTCCATTTTATCTCTCAATCGTGAATCCTGCATCCCATCAGCTCGTATGTACCCATTCTTCCTGCCTTGTACTTAGCTTTCTACCCACATAGCCCCCCATGCATGTCCACTATACACTCCAGGCAGCTTTCATAGACGGTCAACTTGTCTTGTCCTACACTCATCACTCATGTTTGTTTTCAGTCTTCGACCTGCGGTTGAATGATCTTGCAGCGGTATCCAATTTTGCCGATCGCTCCGTTCTCAAGCGCTCAAGCCGCGCTTGACATTTCCTTGCTGTGATTGGCTGCTATAAATAGAACACAACGACTAATTGGTCGCGGTGCTCATGAGCAGGACGAAATAGATTCATTCATAATGCACAGGATACAGGGATAGTAACTCTGAGAAGCGAGCAAAGATATAAAACTGCCATCGTGATACGTAAGAACTTCACCCCTCCGACGGCTCTCCGGTCTTCGAAAAGGACTTAGACGCCGGGTGCCTAACATGGCCCAACCCACCCATTTCCAGGCACTGAAATATAAATATAGTTTTAAGTATCCAGTTTCACGCGAACGATTGTATTGAGTCTTACCTGGGAGTACCAGTCGTTCGAGAACTGGCAGGTATAGGGACTCTGACAAGTCGTCGGGCCAGTGTATCCAGAGCTGTCCAAGTCAGCTCAAGTACAGAAAAGTAGAAATAACGTCCTTACCCTCCGCACTGCCCGTAGTGAGTCTGTAAAGCGGCTCCGGGAGCAGGGGTTGTGGGCGGTGGAACGGCAGTGGTGGCGGGGCTGGGAGGGGCTGCCGCCGGGTCGCTTCCGATCCAGGTCGTCGGTGCGCCACAGTCGCTCGCCATCGTCGCGCGAGCGGGGCCGGGTTGAATTGGGTTGCAGCCAGGAAGCGCAGGGAGCCCTGTAAATAACAATAGAACATGATGGGTGCTGAGCAGTGCTCAGGGGTGGGGGCTCGAAGCACTGAGCACATACATCCTTCATAAGCTTCGGCGACCCGCGGCTGCTGAGTACAAGCATTGATCTGGGCATCTGTCTGCCCCGTTAGGACTGGGCAGCTTTGCCCAGATGAATCTGTGCAAGCGTCTATGGCGCGCTGGAGAGAGTCGCCATCCCACCCAAATGCGTAGTCAGCATGCTGGGCGACGCCGATGCTAAGAAAAGAAGAAAATTAGTAAGTATTCCCTTTTCATTGATTATATTCGCTGACTGACGGATCTCCCATGCTGTAAACGAAGGGCTGCTTGCCATTACTCGGCCACATGCTATTGAACTGCCTTGTATCCCAAATCGTCTCGATGAAAAGTTGAGGCAACGCGACGGGGTGGATGGAGGAGCACGCGCCGTTAGTAGGGTATGCAACGTGGCTCTGAGAGAATCACTGTTGTTGATGTTGCAGGTGATTCTTGAATGGCATACCTTGTGGTCTGGGCTGTCGAGGTTAATGCCATCCCAGCATCTGTTGTTAAAGAGGGATCAGTGACCTCCCCAACAAGGTCCAAGGCATTTTACTGACGCTGGGAAGACAATCTGGGAGCGTATACCACCAGCGCATGGTTGTGTTGGGAGGGCGTTGGAATCAGTCCCAGGGGCGCCCACGACGCCACCATTACCATAATTGGCATCGAGGCATCGGAAATTGAGTGACGTAGCTTCGGGTGACGAAGTGTTCATTGTGCGGACCATGGCGTCTCTCACGATCATGCGGAAGCCCTTGTCATATGTCAGGCTGGACATTCTGAACGAGAGGCTGGGAATTACCTTCTTGAAAGCGGTGACGTGCTGGCCGTTGGTTGGCTGAATGTAGTAGATCGACATCCCACCGTTCGGGTTCCCTAGGTACTGCCCGGGCATTTGAGGAACCTAGACAGTGAAGCTCTTAGACGTGGGAATAGTGTTGAAGTCGAGCGCTTGATTGAACGCACCCGCTTGAAGGATCCATTGGCGTGCCAAAAATAGAGAACCGCGGTCCAGTAATTGGAGAAATCTTCCTTGAACGTGCAAGTTGTGCATCTGGAGATCTTGGCGGGATCATTGCTTGATGCCATAGTCACATTAAATCTAATCTATTTTGTCAGTAGAATGTCAGTGAGCAGGAATACGGCGTGTTTACGCATCCTGATTATTTGCGGATGGTGTAGGAGAACAATCAGCAAGGGATAGAGCAGAGGTGTAGCGTACTAACTCCTCTGACAACCTAACATAAAACAAAACATTGAACATCGTGATTAGACGAAATACCATTTAATCACTCTAGATACGGACCTGGTGCAGATGAGGAGAAACCTGGCCAGGGGTCAGCAAACTAGATGGGAGTAAAACGAGATGGCGCATTAAAGCAAGCTGCAAGCACCTACGGATCAAAACGCTCAATGACCAGTTGAGAGCAAGAGAAGCGTAGAAGAGCATTGGTGCCCGAGGTGACAAGTGTTAAGCCAAGAAGTGTTTTCCACTGCATCTTCTGAATGGACGACTAGTGCGAGGGGAAGCTAATGGTGCCAAGACCAGACTTTATACAGTTTCTTCTGCGGTCGCGACGTCAATGTGCGACGAACCGAACCCTTGGCACGCTTATAGGACGAAAATCGGGGTGGAGAACATCCGCAATGGATCCGACATTGTACTTGAGCTTGAGTCTTAACATACTAGGGCTGGGTGCTGACGTGGTGGAAGACAGGCAGGAGCCGGTGACAAATAAAGAAATAGAGGTATCGATAGACAGGTATTGGAATTCGAAGGTGGATTGACGTGGGGTAAGAGCTACTGCCCCTGAATAGATGAATGAATTGAAGGAAACACCTCTGAAATTCTCTGACTTCTATCCTCGTTCCGACTGGCCGACTGGCAAGAATATTTTGGATGAGAAGGGGGCCTGTTTGAGACATTAAGCATCACTGGCGCTATTACACAAAAATTTACATACGTAGGCTTAAATTTGAAGGCGAGGTACGCCATTCCGTTTAGGTAGGTACTCGCTCCTTATAAAATTAAAAAGGTCTGTGGTTTCAGTATAACCCGTGCTTATTCAAATAACCAAGTGACGGTTTTTCCTCGCAGATCGAAGGTATGCCCGTATTTAGCGTTGGTCACAAGGGAAGCAAGCCATTTTTGTTTCGAGATCGGCACACGGGGGTGATGCTCTGAAGAATCCTTCAAACTACCCACATAGACAGGTCTATAGGTTCCGTCTGCTTGTCCCAATTCAATGTTCATCTTTATTTATAGCTTGTATAGACCGTGAATACACTGCTGGTCTGAATCCCACTCTTGATGTGACTTTCATCTCATCCAAATGGCTCGTCGCCATCCGATATTCTCCCAAGAGCGAAGCATTATAGAGTATCTTTGTCCCCTTGGTCATCCGTCTTCCAGGAGGGTAGAAATACCCTGCGTATATATAGAGTCTAATTTTATGTCACGACAGAGTACTTTCTCACTGTTATTAAGCTCCCAATCACATCGAAGGATGGGGGTCAATCAATCTCTTTCAACGCTCAGTTTCGGATTTGGCGATGTAGACTCATGCTCGGAAATCGGCAGGCTCTCGTATCCTGCGACAAGTCCCACTCTAATCACATACACCAATATGAATTTGCCCTCTTTACACGAGTGTCAGACATGGTACTTACACGTCGGGGTTTACCAAGTATGAAGGCCATTCATACGTGAACCTTCGACTTGGCCCTATACTTTGCCTAGAGTAGATCGTAGGAAGATTTTATTCATTCAAAATGGAAAACAAATTTTTGGGAGAAACTTCTGGGCCCCCGTCCAAAAATTCTTTCTTTGTAAGGGGCACCCGACAAAGAATCGAGAGCAATGCCGGACAGTTTTCTTCATTTAAAATGGTGAAAAAATCTATATGCTTATGAAGCAAAGAAGATGCCTCTTTCTACTTTAAATAAAAGATTTATCGATGTGGATTACAGAGTGATCCACGTTACAACATATTTAATGAATAAAAGAAATTTCCGCAGAAATAAAGATGCTTTGTAGACGTCCAAGAAGAATTAAGTGCTCCACTCCGCGTATAGGAATTCTTTCTACGTTGTACACTACTTTGGCTAGGGTGTAACATCGTGCTCCCTCTATTTGTAATCCCCGACGTGTTACCCTCGGAAAACTTGAAGGTCCAGGAACGCCAAGACCAACGCGTGATGCCGGCGCCACACTCCAAAATCATACCGCGTTTGGGAAGATTTGAGGCTCCGCTCCTTCTCATGATTAGTGCTCGGTTTCCTCCGGGGCATGCTCGTCACAGACCCACCAGCGTCCTTGCCCTCCTTATCTCCAATCCATCTGCAGCAGCTTACCTGCCTGCTGCGGTGTACCCTGTGTGGTGACGGGTACAGCGTTGTGGATCTCGAACCTTCCTGGACCGTCGACAGCGGGCTCCTGGTAGCAAGCTGCGAGCTGTCAACAGGTGAACATAGAACAGACGGAGGGTAGTAACGACGCAGTAGGCCGAAGAGACAGCGTTATCGTACGGCGAGTGGATGAGGGGCGGCACGATTGCTGTTTGGCTCTCTAGCTTGACCAAAGCCGTACCTTATCCGAACCAAGACCTCGAGGCGCCTGTCGTGTCGCCAACGCAGTACAAGGAGACCCGGACACCTGGAACGATACCCTTCTCTTCCCTCTTTACCACCATCCTCCTCCTTGCAGGACGCAGTTTTAGATACACCTTCGTTTGGCCCGGGGGCATCGACACCTCCGGTTTTCAAGATCTACTGAAGAGAGAAGCAGAAGGCCTGATCAACCGCATCCGTTTGTCAAACTCACAACTGGATAGAAGTGCAAGGTGAATCGTTGCTTGGATTAGAGCAACAGGGTTCTATTTCGACTCACTCTCAATTTGGCCGCTAGTTCGTCCAAGGAGTCAGCTGCTGAATACCAGAGAGCACCTGTGACGCCAACGTTCACCGAGGTACCTACGCGAACCTTCTTCCAGATTTTCCAGAATCCAACCAACCCGATCCACCGCCTGCCTATCCACGACCCTCCGCAGCATGACCACCACTACAACGAACCCGAGTGGACAGACGACACCCTCACCCGCACCCCATGCGACTCCGAGCACGAACCCGAACCGGAGTGACAATGTGAACGTGAACGAGGATTCGCCGGAGAATCCTCCCCTCCCTGGGACATCCGGCCGCCAAAGTCAGCAGGGTCAGCAGGGCCATAGCTATAATAACGCGGTAACGCCCCCACCTGCGTACGCCTTCCTCCCCCCGCCCTTCCCCTCTCCGCAGGCCTACCCTCACCCAGAGTCCTCTTCCTCTCAACCTCTATCGTTACCCCAAGCCTTATCGTACTCGCAGCCCACGTCCCATCCACACCAGCACCAGTTCGGCCCAACCCCGATCTCGAGCACGCTGCCCCTGCTGCCGTATGCGTACTACGAGGCGCCGGGTGCGGCGGACGCGCGTGCACGGTGGCGGTTTGTTGGCGCCGCGGTCATTGCGTTAGGAGTGTATTTGGTGATTGGGTGTGTGGTTGGGCTGGAGATGCTAGGTGAGGGAGTGGGCAGTGGAGTGGGCAATTGGTTGGTGTGGTTGGGCTTCAGGGAGAGGTGGGCTTCGTGAAGGGGGTTTGTGTTGGATTGGGGATGAGAGCTACGTGTGATGCGTCGATTTTCCGGGAGGAAGGCGAGGGGTTTCGATGGACTTGGAGGAGAGGAAATTTGGATCCTTGGCTATATGGACTCGTCCGCACTTGGCGGAGACGCTTTCTTGCCTCGGACGAAGGCCACGTTGAGGCCAGCTAAGAGGCATTGAGGTATCTTCCAGTTCATTAATGCTTGTTTCCTCGAAGTAACGACTTTCGTTACAGGACACCTATTTCCTCGATTCCGACGCGCATGATCGTCGAAAGACAACGTAATGACTGTATCTATTCTTAATGCATTTGCGATGTATAATACTTATGAACAGTCTTCTGGCGCGATTAGTGGACGTTTACATGAGAGGTGCGTATTCTACGAGTTATTTATTACAGACACTGACATTCGTCTGCAGAATCAATTGCCATTTGCTAGCAGGCATTCTTGACAGCGAGATAGCAGTTTCTAGGCTGCAAATCGGAAGTTGAAGACTTCTAGTCCTCGGTAGGTCACATCTCGCAAGACCGTCCACTCAGGCTGATGGATTTTGAAGCCTGAAGTCATAGCTGATCGCAAGACGTGCTTCTGGCTTGTTGCTACCGAGATAGCACGACGGGGACAAGACAAGAAATGTGCTGCGGAGATCTTTTCTACAGCGGGTCAGCGGGTCAAAGAGCTATTTGGAGAGTTGACGAATGTATTCTTGGATTGCGGGGGTGAGCTGGATAAGGGAATAACGCCTGCATGTCGGTATGAATGCAGGGGTCGTTGGCGGGAGATGCTTGGCACTGGCGTCTGGAAGGGCGTTGGAGTGTTCGATAACGACAGGTGTGTTGACATATTTTTCGTCCTCTGACATGAACAAGGCAGCGGAGGACTCTTTGGGCAGGATGGACGGACGGACGCTTTGGTCGAGGGCGAGTGACTGGGGACATAGATGTGATTGTCGGCGAAAATGACGCGTGCAGTTGAAGGCAGAAGCTGGAACGAGCACACTAGTAGATTAGATATCTTTGACCACGAGTAGCTATAGCTGGCTACATGATGATCGCATCGGGAAGAACGCGAAAAAAGAAATAGAGGACGGAATATGGAAGCCGAGTTAACCTAAGAGAGACGAAGGATAAGATTGGAGAATAATAATTTTTGGGGTCGGAATTATGAATTTACATGCGGACACAGAGTTGACGTTTTTGTGTGAGTGTGTCACGCGCTTCCTGTTCCTTTGTGCTACGACTACGACTCGATGACTGCATTCCTGGCAAGCTGGCGCAAGGCCTCACCCTTCCAGCGGCTCTCTGCTGGACGACGAACCCCAGGACGACGGCGACAGGTGTTGCCTAGTGTCCCGCCTGACAGACCCCGACCAGAAGAGGCCCAGACGGACGGTGATTGACGACGACGGGCCTTGCCGTTCCTGCTCGGGAGGGCAGGACATGCTGACAGGAGCCAGGGCATGTGGCGGGTGGGGACAATGGGGCAGGACAGTGGGGAGGACCGCGGACGGGGGAGGGCATTGTCTGCGAGGCGGAGGGAGCCAATGGGAGCGCTGCCGGAGCGGGCCGCTCACGTGCAATAAGGTTTTTGGTTGTGAGTGTTTATGTTTGGTCTGTGCGTGGGATGGGAGTTTGCTCAGTTGTTTGTGCGAAAGTGTGATGAGATTTATCTGTGACAGTCGGGAGGGACCGACCTCATCACATACCCCCTCGACTCGATCGCACACCTCTCCTCCGTCCCCTGCTCCACCTCCCCCGCCCCCTTATCTAATCACGCCCACCGCGCGTCACGTTCGCCCCGCCAACACACACCCACTCGTCCCACAGCCCCCGTTCATGTCCCCTGCCTAGTCCACCATGCCCACCCTAGCCGCGACTGCTGTCCACCACCTCGCCCACCAGCCCGACGAGGACTTCATCAACAAGTCTCTCCTCGACTCTCTCGACGCTCAGGCCGACGCAGAGCCCATTTCCTCCGGTGACGACTCAGACCATCCAGTGGCCACTTCCTTCGGCTCAACATCGAACTCATCGTCGTCCGGCTCGCCCTCGGTCAACTTCCCCGCTGCCCACCACCACCATATCGTCCGTTCGGACTCTCCAGGTGACACCACCCCACACAATTACCTTTCGCTGCACTCCCAGGAGCTCTTCATGCACCAGGCAGGCTTGTACACGGGAAACAACCACGTCAACACCCTCCACATGCACCCGGATTTCTCTGACGAATACGACCATCCCAAGTTCCATCCCCAGCAGCAGCTGCCGAACAAGCTCAACGGCTTCTCCAACTCAAACTACAGGGCCTTCAACTCCTTCCCCAACACGACTCGCTCCAGGCATCAGGCCAATCAGTCCGTCCTCAACCCCCCTACCACCTATCGCGACACCGCCACTTTCTATCCCACCCAGAATCCCGATGCCTTTCCAACCCAGATGACCTCTCCAGTCCAATCGCACATGCAACCTTATGACTCACGCGTCTCTTTCGACTACCCCAATGGCCAGCCAAATGGCACGCACAAATCCTACCTTGCAGATCAATACGGAGGCCCGAACAACAACACCCTTCACAACGTCGGAAAGCCCATTTCCCAACAGCAACCGAACCAGCAACCTCTTACAGCCTATGGTGCCACACAATATAGCAATGGCGTCCAGCTCTCCTCCCAAACGCCATACGGCCCTCACGTCCTGACAAACGTCGCCATGGGTGCGCCTTCCAATTCTAGTGT